TTCATCCCTGAGTTGTTTTAAAAGCTCCTTGGTCTTCATGGTTGAATCTTTTATTAAAATTAATTACCTGACTAATAGACCTTAAAGATATACTGTACAGTAGGTGTATTTATTCTGAAATTATGTGAATCACTGCAAAGACAGCGATCACTCTGCTAATGTGTGGCTCATTAAGTTAATACGGTGCACCTAAATTAATCTAGGTTTGATATAGCAAATGGTTTGAACACTTACCCAATCATGACTTTTCAATTTTCCTTCATATGAATAGATAGATAGATACTTTATTGATCCCGTGAGGGAAATTGCAGAATGATCTGTTTCTATCATTTTGTTTTTTTGCTTGGAAAGTCTGGAGTAGGTAGTGTATATACCAAATATTAATTAGAACATAAAAGTCTTGTGACTACAAGCTTTTAACACAACACAATGAGTAAAGCATCTGACTACTTTTGCAAGGCACTTATACATTATATGCAATATTTACACACTTAAATTTATGAAAAAGGTTGTCTAGATGCAATTTCTTTACATCTACATTTTAAAATATTTTTCCTGTAATTATCACACAAAGCAATGCACATACACGTGCAATTGGATAAGTCATGGATTTAAAATTTGAAAAAAAAAATTTGTTGGGAGATGGAATACAGGTCTTTTCATCTGAGATTTAAATTCTGGTACCTAATCATGATTCCCTAAGATACAGTAGCTCAGCTCACCTACTGACGAGCCACAGGATTGCTCCATAAGTGGCATCCATAAATGGTCTCTCTCCTGTTCCCTGGCAGATACAAATTAGATGAGCTGACCGAGCAGCTTGCACAGCCCTGGAAAAAACATTAGTTCTCTAATGTTTTTTTTTGTCTCCGTTCCCCCACGTCTCTCTCTCACTCCTTTTTGCTCTGTCTCCCTCTCTTTTATGCTCATTCACAGCCTCTTAAATTAAAGAAACAAATTGCAATGGATTGAACATGCAGAAATTGGATGCCATCTTTCTTCTCTTTCAGGGCTATGTAGGCTTGATTTTATGTTTTCTGTTTTTCCTCTGACAGTGCTTACCATACAACACATATTATAGGGCAATAAATGCCACGTAATCAAGAAGCAAAGTTATTGCAAATGATTGTTGCACAAGTGCTTAAAAATTTAAAGTGTCTGTCTGCTTCTGATCACAAATGAAAAGCTGCATAACATTTCTTCAAGGATTTGACATATTGGGATGTGAAACAAACTAGTTCCAAGTTATCCTGCATCTCAATAAAGCATAGACAAGAACATGACATTATCTTTTTCAAGCAAGATATCACTCTTTTTAAAATGCATTGAAATAAAAATAGCTGGTGGATATTACAACAATTACAGAGCTTTCAGGAAAAGATCGATCATTTCATTTATTTTACCAAGGAGCCATTTTCTCAATCTCATTTTTATACCCATTGTCAGATGGTGGTTTTGTAGATCGAATGATTTGCAGCACACTTCAGTCACTCTGCTCACAAGAGTGCTAGGGAGTCATGCAGAGGATGAAGGGGTCCTCTCTGATTACAATCTACTGGCAAAGTCAAAGGCTTTTCTGCTGCCTGACTGGCTGAGGATGTTCTAGATAATTTTGGATCTCCGAGCCATCTGAGTGGCTTTCCACAACTTGGGGAAAACTTCCCTTGTCCACTTTTAGGATTGTGATCAGGTGGAACCAACTGCAATTGAGAGGAAGGACCTTCAGAAATCTCCCTTTTAATAAATTTACATTCAATATACTGGAAAGTGTTTTACCAGAATTGTTTTTGAATAAAAAGGCTAGCCAGAATGCGTCTTGCGAAGGCAAAACCTTTCCTCTCATTATGGTCATCTCGATTGTTTAACAATCAATTGTCAATTGAGTTGGCTTTTGGACTTTCGGCAGGGCTTATTCTGAAGCCAAATTCACTTGATTCACACAGATGGCTAGACAGAGTAACATGCTCATCCACTCTCCTGTAACAAAAACATAATTCTTCTTATTAAAAATTATCAAGTTAAATAGGATCTAATTAATGCAGCTAATTCTATGTATGAATTAATACATTCATGATTACTGAATTTGAAAAGTGCATATTTTATCAATCATTGTAAATCTTTGAGAATAACTTTCATTGTGCAGTTAAATAAAAGTTAAATTAAATATTAAAGTCAAATTATACAAATCTATAATGCTAGCATCAACCTGACCCTGTGCAATAGAATATTATTGTGAGCTTTGCTTTGATCTACCGTGGTACAGTATGTCAAGCCCATCTGGATCTTTGTTTCACATATAGACACGCATATACAGTATAAGAAAAAGAGCTCAGTTGTTTTCTATAGTTTTGCAGCCTCCTTAATTCTAATGTTTTTACATTTTCAATTAAAACACTGAAGCTGAGGTCCTGAATCAGTCTTCTGAGCAAAAACATTCAGAAAAATAAACGATATCACAATTATAGTTTAATTACAGTACTTGCTCAGGATTTTTTTTCTTTGTAAGTTCTGCAATATAACACTGACTGGAACCATGTGTCAGTCACCCTTTGTACGCAGTATGTACGGTATGTCATAAATTAAATAATGCTAATAACTACAAAGTACTTCTACACTGTTGCTGTTGCTGTTATTGTTTTCTTTATACTGTAGGTAAAATGATCTTGTGTTGTTATTGACTTAAGAGGAACTGTAGTCTTCTCAATGAAACACCAATGTAAGGAGACTCCTTTGAATACACTGATTGCTTCTTCTAGGGACTTGCTAGCCAGTGGCAACTACTTCTCATCCTCTCTCCCTTGGCCATAACAGCATTAGCCTCAAAACCTCAAAACAATTCTCAACAGTGACCATGCTGCCTTTTTATTATTATTGTCGTCAATGAGTAACGTTTTGTTAATGATGAGGCCACTTGGATTCATGCTTTTTATCTGTGCTATAATTCTCATTGGCGCAATAACTGCTTACACATATTGTCATTTGTGTGTAAGGAAAAAATAGGAATAGTAATGGAAGATAAAATCACAACATCTGATTCCTATATGGAATTACAGTGCATAGTTCACAGCATTCAATATTCTGCATGCATATTGAGTTACAGTATGGGAAAGCACTCATGAACAACACAGATTTTCAGTCTGATCTTCAGATGGTCACAGTATTGTTTGTATTGTATTGTATTTTAAGATCCTAAAAAGAGAGCACATTCCAGTAGAGTAAGTAAAGTGCTGTAGTCTGCAATTTATCTGCCTGGATCCCAACATTTACTGCTCAGAAGATGGTTTTGGTATTTCAACAGTGCTTAGCATTAAAAAACACGTGTTTGGTTTTATTGTTTCCAATTTATTTTAAGATATTAAATATGAGGAAGGTCCAAATAATAAAATTATTGTTTTTTTAAATCATACCAATATTTAAGAATTGCTAAGGGCAAACTTTGTAATGTAGCATGGCAGCAATACAGTTAGTCTGTTTGGTTCAGTAGCTACAGGTTTATGTTTTTTTGCATGAAATAGTAAGGGAATACTAATGAGTTTCTAAACTTTTTCTAGAGTTTTCACACTCTTTTCCAATTTATTTTACTTCCTGTGTCAGAATGTCTCAAGTTTCAGAACTTCAGACCAGTTTCATTTTGTCTACTTACCAAAGTGAAATGTTTGAAGTACGTAATGATAAAAGACAAAAAAAAAATCTTTGGACGCATAACTATAACAAGGTAAAAATATTTCTTTTTTTGCCAGTGGCACAGAATTCTTTAGTAGTATTGGAGACATTTTCTTCCATTATACCTCATAGACACGTATAGCCATATACCCTGCAAGTGATAAATTCAGCATTTTTAGATTATTTTCTGTTTCCACAAAGACACCTTTAAGCATTCTACAATCAACTGTTCCAGTTGTGAGACAGACTGAAGCAATTAGGTTGTGGTCTTCCTAACTAGTCAGATTTCTCATTGCAGGCCAGATCTAGTGACGCACATTGTCACACATAGAGCCCTGGGACACTGTGGGCTGGAATACTGTCTGTGCAATACTGTGGACTCCGTGACAGCATGTACAGTATGAATAACAGGGTGTAAAAGTCTCTAAAATGGCCTACAATCATCTTTTAGGGGGCAGAATCTGTGCAAGTTCAAAACAAGAAGGCTCATCCAAATGTACTGTGCTGACAGCAGCAAAGCATTTTTTAAAGGATTTTTATTAAAACTTAGAGACTATTTATCTGCATAAGTTAGCCCATTAAAACCATGAAGCCACAACAATACTGTATATGAAAGCTACTTAATATTATCATTTTTAAATCAATGTCCTCATTTTTTTCCCGGTTGGCATGTAAGTTTAAGGTATTTTCTATTCTCATGAAAGTACACATTCTACAGTTGTCACGTCACAAAAGCACTGCCTATGTTTGTCTCTTTTTTATCTTTGTGTTTTACTGACAGATCCCTTCTGTGCTTTCTTCCTCCTAAATGGTGCCCCTGGTGTTGCTTGGGGTACTTTTTTCTGCTCTGTGCAACACAATTCTTTAAAAAAATGTCATGAGGAACTCATATTTCAAGGGGAAGGCTGAAAATATAAAAGAAGACTTTTGAACTTAATTTTCAAAAGATATGTCGGAGGCATCTGAAAGATTGATTTTTAATTCACTGTAGTATTGTGACCATCCTCCAGCCCAAGGGAAACCATGGTTTTCCAACTCATTGCTGAAAATACAGTTTCAATGTGCATAATGTTAAGCTAAACATACTTCACCCACTTAGTGGGAAAAGCTGTATATTTTACAGTATATACAGAACTCATGTTTTTGCTAATAGTTTAGTTGGATGTTTAGTGAAGAAAAACAATATGCAGGTCCCTCTTAGAAGAAGCAGTCTTTTTTTTTTCAGAATACCTGCAATTTTGATTTTTCTGCATCTGATGTTACACAGATGTCTGATGTAACATCACCCACACTGTCCTAATTCACAGAAACAAATATACAAATCAGTAAATGTAGTATGTCATTTATGTCATTTAATATATTCTGCTTTTATTAGAGCTTACTATAATATTTCAAAAACACAAAAAACCCACAATCATTCTTGCCAAGTACTTTTATGTTTGTATTTTTATCTTTACAAATAATGTATAGAAAACACATAACAGTATGAAATATTAAAGCAAATCCAATTTTTTTTCTGAGACAGACAATAGTCTAGAAGACTCCATATATTTCCTTTCTTTACACATTTATTCCAATGTATGGCTTTGCAAATTCTACCTTAATTTCCAGCACTATATCATTTTCTGTATATTCACAGTTGGCGAATAAACATTTATTTTTAATTAAAATTATAACTATACCATTTATGCTGTAATATTTGGAAACTGATACATTTTATTTACATGAGCTTATTTAATAATTTCAGAAATATTTGCTGACCATTCCCTTTTTTTATCCATTTCTATTATTTTAGATACATCAAGGTAGGATCCAGCAGGTTATACAGTATATTCAGTCTATTGGTAGCTTTGTTATAGAATAATGGCAAACTTTTGTTCTGTATGAGTCTGTATCCAAATCTACACATTCATTTTAACGGTTTCATTCAGAAAGAGATTTAAAAAATAATGAAAGACACAAATTTTAAATGCTCAGAAAAAAAAATAGAAAACTAAGGTTCCCTTAATATTCCCATACAAGGTGGTTTTATTATCACTGTACAGATTTCATATAATTGCTTTAATTTGAAATAACAAAAATGCAACTAAATGATGTTAGAAGCTTGTAATGCAAAAAAAAAACAACAATCTAAACTGAAAAAGGATAACGACTCTTATGGGAAGAAAAGTTCAGCATCTAACTGAAAAATTGAGAATTTTTCTCATTTTTACCATTTGATTTTTATTTCTATTTTTTTATTTAATTTATATTTATTTCTCTCCACATTCTTTCACTCAAACTCTAACTCTTTCACTTCTCAGTTCTGCAAGCAGCACAATCATAACAACGGTGACCAAGTTTATCTAATTAAAGGGAAGCACAGCGAGAGACCATCCTGATTATGTTGAAATTTCTTACAACAGTTCACCTTCCTTGACAAAAATGCTGGTAAGACCATCATTTTTTTAAGACAAAGAAACAGTTGTTTAAACAATAGCCTGTAAAGTCATTTTCACACATGTTCTACAATAATTATCTTGAACCGGACTGCCCTTAAAATTCCTGGTTTAAATTTTCAGAGGGAAATTGTACAGTACCTGTCTTTCCCTGTGGCGGAGAAATAACACACTAACTGCACAGAGATCACACACCTTTCACTGTTTTGTAATCGGTACTACAGTAACTGCACACAGAGCTCATCAGGAGCTATGCCTGGTCAGGGGAAAAATATATGAATACCGATATCCTAACATAAATTTATACGCAGGGAATATGCATTCTTTGAATTCAACTTTAACACAAGTCCACGTGAAAACACAACTCCAGTGAACCAGCAGGTGTCCTGCTACTGTATGTAGCAGAGGGCTCACATAAGGAACAACTGGCAAACATGCAGTTTTGGGGTTCAAGCTCATGCTGCAGCATCTGCTGTGGTGTCAGCAGGCAGTGGACGTGTCAGTATCTCGATTAGCAATCATTTAGCAGAGCAGCAGTGCCAGGAGCCAGTTAAGTGTGCGCACTGTCCTACACTAACACATCAGATGGATGGTGTCACTGTTTCAGCTACTCGATCTGCAGAACTTTTGTTTGACTAGAAATTGAACTGCCTGACACTATTAAGCGGGTTCATCGTGAAGGATGGTTCAAGTGTTTTGGATGTTTCTGATCCAAAATAAAGCACATTTCAGGTGCAGAGAACAAATGTAATTAGTCTCGCTACAAAAATACCTCCTATCTACAATTTGGGTATGCATTAGGTTAATTTTTAGACTGAAGTGAAAAAATGACGGTGCATTACTTTTGCATTGGATTTACTCTTTAATACTTTATTATATATATGTTTATTGTGAAGATTTCTCTTTGTCTATCCAGCCCAATCACACCTGAAATATAACCCTGGGCACTTTAATACTATAAGCAAACATCTAATAATAACTGAAAACATTCATGAAAGTTTTTGTATAATTACTGAATTATTGTTTTGGTGCATTACATTTATGTTTTAAGTTAATTTGTGCATTACAAATAATAACTGTAATGACCAGTGCTTGAGTTACTTGAACCCTACAATATATTGCAATGTGTTACAAGATCATCAAATACCACATTGTAAACTAAATGAACAACATTTACCATATCTCATTAATTAGGCACAAACCGTTTCCTTCTGTGTACTTTGATATGTGTATTAAATTAAAGAGAAAAAACAACATTAAAAGCAAGCTTATAACAAAAAATTTTGGTTTGATTTACACACTAATGAAGTTGGCCTCTTGTCCTCAGGGAAAAAGGCAGTGAAAAAAGAAACACTGTCTCTTTAAACTCCTTCTGGTGTATCTTCACAGCTTTCTGGCTGAAGAATATCAGCTTTGTTGTATCACAAAGTCTGAGGATGATTCCACAGGCTCTGTACAATAGCTTGATGGATTTCATTAGGCAAATTGGGACAAATTAGAGTCGAGGGATGAGTCTGAGTTTTTGTTAAGCTTCAGAGAAAAAGCTTACTCTCACATTTACAGTGCAGCAGCAGCTTTTGAAATAGGAATGTAATTACTTTAATGATGCAGATCTTTAGGTACTGAATCAGCCTTTTGATTTGGAAAGGCGGTCAACCCAAGAGAGTGGCAGGGATTTTCTCTTTGTTCAATTTTTTCTTTGTCTTTTCTAATCCCCCCCGCCCCCCCCCACATGAATTACATCCCCACCCCCACCCTCAAACACCCCCTCATCCTTTTCACCTCCCCGAAAGCGTTCCTGCAGTTCGGATGCTTCCTTAGCAGACTCCGTTCAGCCATCATCTGCGGCAAACTCCTGAGGAAATTCGTCCGACGAGCTGCTTTTGTGAATTCGCCCGTCGTTCTTCATGCTGTTGAAGGTCTTCCTGAAGGCCTCCATCATGGCGTGAGCCAGTTTCTTAGCCTCCAGCTTGTTCTCACACTCCACGGCATGGCAGTCCATCTGGAACGTCAAGTCATCGTTTATTTCCCGGTAGATCCAGGCAAATATGTTGGGGCTGACGTGGTGGTCCGCGGTGCAGTAGGCGATGCGCGCCACCTGGTAGGTGTCCATGTGGACTGTGGCCTCCCCTCGGCCATCCAGGTGGTGCAGCCGGACCTGGAAGGGCCTGATCTCCAAGACAGCATTGGCTGGCCGCGTGTCTTCCTGGGCGGTTGCTCGGCGCTCCCACAGGCCAATGACAGCTGGTTCAGTGCAGCCAGACAGAAACTGAGTCCCCCTGATGGTCACCTTGCCTAAGTACGTCACCTGAAGGCACACCGGAAAGAAAAAGAAAGTTTTTCATTAATTACAAATGTTCTTTTGTCTTCTTCTGGGGGGTCAACGGCACCGAGATTGACATACATCCAGCAAAATTGAAGAAATGCAACTATATTGTGCTTGTCTTATTACGCCATCTCAGCTTCCATCTTTGCTTTGTTTTTTGTGAACTTTTTTTTTAAACTGTTTAATAAAACGTATCACAGAGTGCAGTACGACTGCACCATGATACATCAACATCTTTATTTTTAGATTTTCAGAAGACTGTTCATGTTTAGGGTGTTGGCGCTCAGTATTACTCAGCATCTGTAATGAAACACACGCTGCAACTCATCACGCCACAGGAAACTTGATATTCTCCCTTGGGGAGGCAGGGAAAGTCAGACCTATGGTACATCCAAAAGATACATTTTATCCCAGATTCCGTCAACTGAATTTGCTGTTTAACAGTGAGCTGTAGGTTTGTGTCTCATGTCAGGAAATGCTGGAACTTGTCAACCTGAGCCAGGAGCTAATTAAAGCTTTCAAATATGGTTAGTGTAATACACACAATTAAAAACAGAGTGAAAAAAATCACATGTTTTCTGAGAGATAGGCCTTAGAACAATCTGCTCAATTTCAAAGATTAAACCAAGGACACAACTTTGATCTCCCAGAAGTGGGAGAAAAAAAACACATTCATTTTTAATGACTTAAGATTCCATTTATCTCTACCTTTTGCAAATTCCATGCAAATCATTTAAAATGCTAAAAGGGAAACAGGATTCATATCAATGGCAGGGGTCTAAATGATGGTAAATTGAGTGGTTTTGTGCTAGCATTACCTTTAATCTCCACAGAGGAGACGGAGAAATAATGTTAATCTTTGAAAAAAATAAAACACACAGAGAAATGTTTAGGCTTTCAATCATTTGCAAAATTTAAAAAGTGTGTGAAAGCAAAAAGGCAAAAAAAGAATAAATTGTCATTTAAACAGAAAAACAAATAGAATATTTCAAATTCATGGGCATGACAAATATCTCTGAAGACAATGTTTACCATGACATGAGGCAAACTTCTTTTTGTGAATGTATTCAATGAGCAACCTGAAATATGGTTTCTAGCAGGTGTGAAAATGTAAAACTCTAGTTCACAGATCATTGTCCAGAGAACGTCCAGCGAAAGTAACTGAAGTTATTCCTGACTGTGTTACAATGAGCAACAAGGTGCCTAATCCATTCACAATCTGGTATCTCACAAACCCTTAAATGACTATTTCCTGCTCACCATTTACTTGTAGCGTATTTTTACTGCTGCGGTCACATTACATCTCATACACGCACACCCTTATTATATGTTCTGTATCCTGAATGAATAAAAAGTTTATGTACCCTGAAAAGAAGAATCATTGGGCGATGAAGGAAGCCTCCCCTTTCTAAATTTGGACAATGCCTTTAAAAAACAGGAAAACCCACATGTTGCCACAGCCGTGTTGGAAAAAATTGTCTTGTTGTGGTGACTAAAACTTTAGAAAAATGTAATTTTATTGTTTGGTTTCCATTTTTCTTCCATGTTCGGTGTTAAAATGACTTTAATGGGGCACATATTTTAATCTCAAATGTATCTGGTCTATTCGGTATTGGGTGTGCAAACTGGCATTTAAGGTATCGCATGGGAAACAGTCTTTCCTTCAAGTTATTCTTCTATAAAGTTTAAATAAAGCTGACGCAACCACCAAGTTGAACCAATTTCTCAGCTGAATCTATACCACAACTGCAGCTGGCAGGCCCTCTAAAAACAAATGGAACTGCTTTGTGATTGTAGTAAACTGCCTGTGCATGTTATTCATAAAAAGAGCCCACATTTCAGGACATGCAAGTTTACATACTGTACACTATTTATTCAGTTCTTTATCTCTGCATTCCGGTTTAAAGTGGCTTGAAGAAGCCTAACAAATCCATGTACATCCAAAACACATTTGCATAGAAGCCTATATTTCAGTGCTTATTTTATTTCATTACTTGATATTAAAGAAAAATAATAATTGATGTTTACACTGGCTTTAACCTTTTAATTTTGTTTCTGATTCGTTAGCAAAGTTAACTGGAGCTAAACTGTATTCATTTTGATCATCATACGGGTGGAGGCCGGGCCAGCTGGCCCCTACAGTAGTCATATAAATGCCAGAAGTTTTTTTTCCCAATAGTTAAGAGCAAACTGTTGACATTCCAAGCCCAAGATCAGCCAAGTTTTGTCTAGTGGCAAAAACAAATCTTGGAAGCAAGAGGAAAGAGAGACTTGGCCTTGGTGCGAACGCGCTAGAGCTCTAGACATTCCATGAGCCGACTAAACAGAGGTAACCTCATTTCATCAGCACAAGCCCCAAAGAAATTCCTTTTCAAACAAAAATGTCTTCTCCAACTCAAAGCTCCTTATTGAAAAGGTGTTTTACTATAAACTCCAGAATAACATAGAGACTAAACACATTACCCTGGTTCCCAATATCATTAGCACACCTGCAATTCCATTTATAATACACACTTTAGTTCAGTCTGTGGTGAAAAAAAATTCTGGCTTAAAAAAGTGCCATGCAGGTCAGTGGACACCTAGGAACTTGTTCTTTTTCACACTTAATGGATTTCCCTTAGACCTATTTTCAAAACCTGTAAATAACTTGTTGTATATACAAGCTTACATAAACGCCTTAGGCAAACACACAGTTTGGCATGTACTGTAAGTCACAGATACACTGAAATGAATGCCTGTTTCTAACTTAAATATAGCCCCTCCAGGGTAGCCACAAAAAAAACAGGGTTTGTTTGCTACACAGCACTAGCAGTTTAACCAAGCTTTTAATCAGTAGAAGAGTACCACCTGTATTACTGTTTAAAAGCTGTGTGACTGCCAATTCAAAACTGAAGAGGTACTGTACCTAACGTGACACCACTGCAGGACAACATAATTAATAAACTAACCAACTGCATGTGGTGTTTAGATAGACCTCAAGGTACCTTCAACATCCTTGGTGTCTGTTATAGTCCTGTCATTTGCAACTGAGTCTGTCAGCTTGATTTCAATGCAGTCATAAAGCTTTGATGTCAAGAGTCTCGGATCAGCCACAATAAGCCACCATCTTTCAAGTGTGCTCAGCACAAGATGTACAGATAAGGTTTTGAGAAAATGGCAGTTTTACAAAGCGTTTAATTAAAGGACAGATTAGGAAGCTCATAATTTTCTTTAACCTCTATCATGCTGCCTATCTTCGTCTACGTAGGTGGCTCCCAGAAAAAATGAGAACACAGGAGGAATTGAACGTCTGGTTTTACAATGCATGGGTTGGCTGTTTGAGTTGAGTCTGAGATTAAGTCAACACAAAACATCCAGCTCATCTGTGTAGGACTGTTTTTTTAGTCCTTGTGAAACAAAGACTTACCTCCAAAGCAATTAATACAGAATAGTATAATAGTATAAAATAGTACAGAAAAGAAAAACATACAGTGTGCTGCACATCATGAAAAACAACAACTAGTCAGAAAATAGATATCCTAGAGGACAGTGTAAGGGATTCTACAAACAGTACACCTTTTTAAAAAATCTGCTTTTTCAATTGGTTCAAATGGGAAAGAACACCCACGCTGCGAATCCTCACGACCTTAGAGGCAGTAGTAAAATGTTTTTTTGGTGTTCTCTGGTAAAATACAACAGTTTTATAAAGAAAATAATTTTTATTGTTTACGTTGTAAGAGAAGAGATTTAAATGGAGAACAGAAGCGCTGAGCTCATTGTTGGCGTGGAAACGAAGGAGAAGTCCAAACAGATGACCACATAACTAGATGAGCTGGCAGAAAGGAAAAGCAGGCAAACATGCACATGCCAAAAATCTAAATGCAAAAATATTAATCCTGGTAGCTTATCTCGAAGAAGCCACAGTACCCTCTGGGTTTGCCTTGGAGAAACAGCTGTGCTGGAAGATACACCGCTATGGACAAGATGGCCAGACAGCGTTTAATGTTTTCTATACTCCGATACAATTACCAAGGTTTTACGTGAAAAAACAGACGTTAGATTCTTATCATCAGATAAAAAAGAAAATTACAATGTGATATCCACTCATGAAAAAATACTATCCAAGTAGCCACCAATACTGTGCATCTTATTTTAAATGCTATAATGGGAAAGTACTCTGGGTGAATACTGGTGAGGTTTAAGATCTGTGTGGTATTGACATTTTGCACATTGAAGAAGAGATGAGGATTTAACACAGACAGAACAGGAAATACCAGTAATTTCTTGTCGCTCTAAAATATGTTATTTACTCTGAAAAAGTCTGTCCTCTTCCGAGATTGTGAGTGCATCCAAGTTGGAATGCCAAAGAGCTGGAAGAAATAGTAATGTTGTGATGCAAGACCTGTATTTTCCACGCAGGACTAGCCGCACACACCCAACAAAAACCTGAGGGATGGAACAAGCCCTCCTGCTTTAAGGGTGTCTTCTGTTTGAACGCCTAAACACCAAATGATGATCTACTGTATCTTATAAAACAGCACTATTTCTGCAGAATGCCTTACACACGCTGCGCAACAGCCTCTGTGCTGGGAACTATTTGGCAAGCAAACAAAAACTGAAAAGACTTTGTCCCTGTAAATACACAGAACACAAGTTTTCTTTTCCCAACCAAAGGGGTGTTTTAAACAAATCAGACGAAATGGTTTCCTCATTTATTTTCCATCCAAGATCTCTACTATACAGTAAGGTGGTTAATGATGTTGGAGAGAAATACATGCTCAAAAAAGCATTTTTTGCTTTGCTTCATGACATTTTTTTGAAGCTTTCCTAATGGTGGTCATTCTGAAACAGCCTGTACAGTAGCTCTTTATTTGTTGAAGTCTTTCAGGAAACCCACTTGAGAAGAACTCTCTTTCTCAGGAGCAAGCGTTCAGCTTCATTTAACCCACTTCATGCAAAATGAGTTTGCAGATTACCACATGCCCCACAGCAACGTACTCAAA